CAAGCATCAGGACGCCGGGTTTCGGGACTGCTGGACCTGCCATATTGTCTGTGGGAAAGGCTAGATGTTAGGTATTCTCGTACCAGGAATATGGTCGGTCTTGAAAAACGGCTGGTTTTAAAAAGAAGAAGAAGAAAAGGAGTTTTAGAAGCGATTGAAATGACCAACAAGCGACGGATTTGGCGGGAACATGACTGGTGGGAATGGCAGGATCATCAATTGACCAGAGACACCAACGTGGGGGGTTCTCGTCGCATTTGCCGGCAAAGGTCGCTCGAAAGAGGGACCACGACGAGCGAGAAAAAAAAAAACATTGAACCGATTGACCGAGTTCGCCATGGCGGCGCTCAACGCTATCGCAGGTTCAAACAACGGGTGCATGGATTTGACGAATCCATGACCCCGTCCTGGTGTGGATCAATGTGTCCCCGGCGGCCCCGGCTATTGACCCCGTCTCCACTTCCGCGGCCAGTTCCCCGCGACTTCAAAACAGCCCAGCAAAACTATGTCTGTCACCCTTCATGCCTCGCACGGCATTTGAGCCAACTTAAAGACTCCATCGCCCGTTGATATCGTCATTTTAGCCAATGGACTCACAGCCGATGCAGTCGCCGATGCCAGGCATGCCCCGATCAAAGGCCAAACGGGTCTCTCGTGCCTGTCTCTCCTGCCGCACGCGCAAGACAAGATGTGACCTGTGAGCAGAACATTCTTCTCCCCCTTTACGCGCGAGGGGTCACACAGCCCCTCGTCGAGGCCTGCCATCGCTTACTGACGCTTATTGGAACCAGTGATTCGGAGGGCATGTCTGGCTCGCCCCCATGTCGCCGCTGCGTTGAACAGCAGCTCGAGTGCGTGCTTGCAAAGTCGAGGCGTGGAGGCCGCAGGATCAAAGGTGTCCGTAACTCTGCCGTTCAGCCGCCGCCGCCGCCCAGGCGCGACAGCGATCTTGCCCCGTCATCAAACCCTCGTGGCCCTGCCAGCTCTACGCATGACGACGACGACGACGACGAGAGTGACTATCACAGCACTCAAGGAAGTCAAGCCCGTCCTGCACAACCGCTGGCCGGCACGGATGCTGTGCAAGGATGGCCGTCCTCTCCACCTCATGCCGGCAACTGGCGAGCAGACAGCCCCGACGCCGGATCCACACAGGAAATGGCAGACTCGAGGACAAGTTCTGATGGATTAGAAGGCCATATAGCCACTACGGACCTTTTGAATCCCTCTGATGCCCTTGATCTGCTTGCCCAGGTCGCCGACTTGGATCCAGGCAGGCAGCGTAATACATTGACTGGCCAACCTGGCCAGAGCAACAGACATGTCGACGGAATGCAACAGACTGTCGGTAGACCAGCTACCAGCTATTATCCTCCTCTGCATGATGGTATCCTGACGCCTTCAGACGCGTCGTATCTTGTAAAGAAGTAAGTTGCCGTTTGGTCATGCATACAACACACATGTTCGCCTGCTTACACGTTATTGCCTTCAGGTATCATGAGAAGTTCCATCCCTTCTTCCCTGTGGCATTCGCCGATATATTTGAAGAAGGACCCATTACCGAATGGGCCGAGAAGGAGCCTCATCTTTTGACAGCTATTCTCACTGTGGCATCTAAAGACGATCTCTCCTGGTTCAGAGTGTACGATGCATGCTCTCGTCACATCGAAAGCTTCATGTCAACCCTGATCTACGCAGGATCAAATTCAGTAGGGTCCGTCGAAGCACTGCTCATCCTTGCTGAATGGGCGCCACAACGCCCACAGGAGAATTCTGCCATCGGCTGTGGACAAGAAGACCACGGTGCCTGGATGCTGGTTGGCCTGGCCATTAGGCTAGGTTATTTGCAGAGACTGGAGCAGACGGCTCTTCTACCAGATGATAAAAAGCCTTCTCTGGAAGTCAGCAGAAAACGTGTGGCTTGGGCAGGTACGTCGCCTGTGCCCTTTACTTTGTGCCATCAACCGGGTGAATTGCTAACGAGGTGCCAGCTTGCTACATGAGCGACCGACAAGTCTCCATTCGACTGGGCAAAGGCTTTTGGTCTCGCGGTCCAGGCCCTTCTCTCCATCTGCGAGCTGCAGACTTTCCAACTCTGCATGCCCAAGCACTTGGCCCGGATAATATGGGGCTATTATTCCAAGCACATCTCGAACTTACCCAGCTGATTAGCAATGCTCACGACATTCTCTACTCATCTACCAGTCATAGGAAGCAGCTGTATGTAGGCGGAGAATACGTCAGATATATTGTAAGTGAACGAATGCCAAGGGAATCGGGGCAAATTACTAATGTATTCAAAGGATGACTTTGCTCAAATGGTCCGGAAATGGAAGCTCACGTGGGCAAATCACAGCTGTAAGTTGTGTTGTTTCATGTTAGCCTTGGACAGCTCACTGATTTTTTTTTTTTTTGTACAGTCACACCACCCGTAAAGGCGTCGTTGGTCTTGTCATTTGAATTCTTGCGCCTTTACATCAACGCATTTGCCTTCCAGGCCAATTTGAACCGAGCAGCAGCTCGAAACGCTCAAGTCGGGCCAGGAAAGGCTAGCGGGCCGCTGTTTTCCAACATTGCTGGAAAACCAGACGCAAGGTTCATATACGAGTCGATTGACGCGGCAAACTCACTACTCAGCATTCTGAACAGCTTCATAGACCCTGTGGCAGGGCTGAAATGCATGCCGCTCAAGTATTGCCTCTACGTCATCTATGCGGCCGTGTTTCTATTCAAGGCAAGCCTTCAGAAGCCCCCAGACTGTGAACCAATAGTCTAACATCATTCGCAGGCCAGGTTGGCGGGAGCAATAAGTAGCGAGGGCGACCGTGGAGTGCGACGTGCAATCCACGGTACCATTACACAGTTACAGAAAACATCCAACAACCCGCAGAGCCTCGGGCGAAGATATGCCACGTCACTGCGACTGCTCTGGAGGAAGTCGTCTGCAAAGCCGTCTACCAAGGGCGCTACCCGCAGTGACCCGGTAAGCGAGCCACCAGAGCTCGCAATGAGCCAATTGGAAGGGCAAGAGAATATTGTGCCGTCGGCGACGAGCAAACCCACAATGGACATGGACCCGTTGAGCGGGTTTTCGTGGAGGGACTTGGACTCGCTGGGACAGTTTATAGCGAACAACACGACGATGAATATGACTGATGGGATACTTGCGGGTACAGACTTTGATTGGGAGCACAGCTCGGGAGGACTTGATGATCTTGCGATGCGACCACAGTTTGACACGATGTGGGCGGGGCATGATATTATTTTCTAGGGAATCGGCAAAGGTACCGGACGTTTCGGAGTAGGCTTGGTGTCAGGTTTTTTTTTCTTTTTGTCGGACGGATACGGTCTCTTTATCATGTGCAAGTTGTTGTAATATATGCGACGAAAAATATACGAATGTCCTGCCATAAAAAAAAATATGGTGTCTTTGGACCACAGCCAAGCCAAGGAAGGCCGGTCATGGAAAAATCATGTCGGCAATTGCCGCACTGGCGGCGGGGGTTGAAGCGAGGGCCCACACCAACGGCGAACCCACAGCCGTTTGCGATTCATGAGGGTTCCTCGCGGACCATTTATATAGCTCATTAAGGCAATCTCCAAATGTACCCAGTGGAGCTTCAGCACCACTAATTCTCCGGGTAGTCTAGTTGGTTTATGGCGTCTGACTGTAAGAGAACAGCTCAATCAGAATGTCGCGTGTTCGAATCACGCCCTGGAGACTCTTTTTTTGCCACGGCTAGCTGTGGTGGGGCAGATATTATTTCAGGCCAACTCTTTTTATTCCCTCTCTTCGCCAGCAATGAGCATAGTAAGGGAAGGATGGAGAATTTGCCTCTTTTTTTTTTCTCCGGAACCGTCACAGACCTACTACTGGCTTTGATCGTGTTCCCTTCTTCGTCTTTATTGGTTGATCCCACCACCACGCGCACTCATGTACTATAAAATGGCATGAACATGGTCGCACTAGTAAAGTACGCAGCGTTCGTGCATACCCTGTTCACCGCATCTATCTCGGCCATATATCCCAGCCCCCCGCAAAGTCTTCCCGAAGCATTACAAATAGAAATCCATAGGCTAAGTACATTTGAACACACGTTCCAAGCCCAGTTACCTGCCCTTGTCACACCTGTAACAATTATAATAATGGCTGCTGTGTACCATTTTAAAATTGAATTTGTTTTGCCGTCTACTTTTCCTCTTCCCATGTAATACCATAAGTCTTATCGTGCTGCAATGCTCATGTAGTTACACAAATACACACAACACAACCTGTACATCCTTCCGCCGTCTACGGGCCTCACATAATTCTCCCACCGGGCGCTCACTCCTCTAATAAAAACTCCCTCAAGACCATGCGCTATGAGGACGCCTGTGATGATTTATAGTCCCCCGCTTCTCTAATAACTCGCTACCCTTATGCCAAAACTGCTTTATTCACCTTTATATTAGTTATTAGACCTTCCAGCACCAAGACAGATAACTTACAAGCCTCTGAATCCATCTCCGACGACCTTTTAATACTAGCAAATCTTCGTGTTTTGTGACAATTGGTGTGAGAGTGGTGGAGTCCGGTAGCAGTCTTCATCTTCTTCAAGAGGTAGAGGCCATTCCGTACATTGGTACTATTAGTGCGTGATAATATTCCTGATTATGGATCCAAACCAAACACACATCAGCAGGGAAGGGGGATAAAGCAGCTACGTCTATTTGTATCTTAACGACCAGGTTCGACACAAAAAGCAAGTAGTTTAACTGAACTGACTAAAATCACACACCGGCAAGAAGTTCCTCTGGCCAACTCATATAGCTAAGTGAAACAATGACAAAAATAAAAGAACATAATGTAGAATCTACTAGTTATCAAACTTTTCCAGCACTTTCCATAGCACTCCTCTCTGGCTCTACGCTCAGCACGAATTTGAGCGCGTTCGGCTGCTATTGGCTTGCGAGTGTTAACACCCACGATCTGACAATCGGGATCGGCATTGGTGAGGCTGTCAGTCGTCGTCAGCGATGAGAATAGGAAGGGTACGCGTGCCATTCTGGATAGTAGTTAGTGAATGTTCATCATAGCAAAAGTCATAAGCGTTGTGCTTACCTGATGACGCCCGACGTGCTCAAAAGCTCGCTCGGCTTGGAGAGGCTGAAGACGGAGGACCTTGCGGCCACGATTAAGCAGGTCTACTGACCATGCTCTTCCGACTAGTACGGGGTGACTCTGTCGGTGACCCATTTCCCGGTCAACCACGTTGCTGGCCAGATCATTTATGGCGTCGATGAGTTTCCTGGACGTCGGGTCTGGATCTCCAGGGATCTGGTACTCGATGGCAAAACGCCTTAGAGCACAGGAATAGAATAGTCGATCGACCTCTATTTGGATCTCCACCAGTTTATTGTTGTAGGGGTATTTAATGACGCAGCGATGAAAAACTCTATTATTGCGACGGGAAGGCATGTTTATATTGCTGCAGAAAGCGTTAGCTATTATCACGGCAGTAATAGTATTTGTCATGTAATTGAATGATACTCACACGAATGATATTGTAGTAATCGACGTGATAAAATAAAGGGCGCGGACGGCGAGGGCGATATTGTAATTGCTGGGAGGCAGCGAGGAAGGTAGATGTGATGTGTGAGGGATGAAAAGAGGCTGCTGTGATGTTTCGGGGGTTAAATAAGGTTATCATGATAGTCAGTAATTCACTTACTACATGCTTGGGCAGCTGGCTGCAGCCGTTTCTCAAGTGTGGTGTTACAATATGAGAATGTTGTGAGATGAATCTGGCATTTGGAGCAAACGGCTGTGGCAATTCCCTCGCACGTGCAGAAAGTAAGCGTTTGTGTGTGTTGAAACTTGACATGGACTCTCTCGCCAAATCACAGTTGAGACAGCTGCGACAGATTTCTCTCCTTCGCAACCCTCCTTCAAACGCATCACATTTATCGCCGTGCAAAACTCATCATCTCTAGCACCAGCGTACGGCCTTTTTCTATTGCAATTACTTACAAGTTTACCAATATATATTTTTTAGAGACGGTTATAGCTGTCAATGCTACTTTGATCATTGTGGCTGCAACGAGCCAGGGCAAGCATATAACAAGGGCGAGGGTCAGGCATTATAAATGAATAGTAAGTATCATTGACAGCTATAACCGTACTTTGAGATGATGTTCTCGCCCTTGCACGTGCTTAATTGCAATACATGCTAACTATTTGACAAGGCATTCTGGTCAAGTTTTACACCAAGGGCTGCGTTCACCATGTGGAGGTCATTAATTACGCGAATCGCACGATGAACTTGAGGCTTTACAATGTGAACATTAAGACGTCAGATGATGCTTTGGAGCTGGCCATGTACTTCACTTTCGTCCAAGCCTTCCAAGAGGGGATGATGTTGATGCTGCGGGCCAAGGACCCACGAGCATTTGAGAAGGACAAGGAGAATGAGAAGGACAAGGAAAATGAGAAGGACAAGGAATGGCAAACTTGACCCAGTGGCGTTCCACTCCAAAAAGTCATCGCCAGCAGAAACGAATTATGAAATCCATAGGCTACATTTCAACATTTGCCCGAAGCCCGCGCGGTCTGGTACTTTTTTTTCCCGCTCAAACCTGATAAAACTAGGTTTCGGGTAGCCACCCGCGCACCGGAGGCCTTGATTCCCCACGCGTCAAGGATTGGCATCGGCGTGCGCTCTTCCACCATTCAATGTTGACCTCCATGTCTCCATTTCAACCTCCCACCTCACCATGACACACCTGACTCGTCCGTCTGTCGGCGTCTCTCGACAAACAAGACTCCGGGGAAAAGGCCACTCAACCCCACAATTTCCCCGGCACCCCGCGGATAAAAAAGGCCAAGGTTCTTGTATTGACGTTTCCTGTTTTGTGAACAGGAACATGTCCGGATGAATGCATTTGCAGCCTTGTACGGAGTAGGTGAAGATATTTTTCTCCGCTGCGAGCTGCGCATAGACAAACGGGCCGACTGCAAGTTGCGGATTTCTGCGTGGCGCCTGGGGTAGTTTGTCGATCACCAGCAGTCGATCCTCATGTTGAGCAACGTCGAGACTGGCCACGCGGCACGACCTCTAGACAAGATGTATATCTTAAAATCGTGGTCATGGCCCATTTGAATAGAATTGTTTTGGTAGCGGATCATCGCTAGGTACATGCAAGTATAGAAGCAACGCTACGCTGTCTAACAAGACGTGACAAGATGCGGCCTTGCTCACTCGCCCTGCTGGCTCTCGCAACTCTTGCATCATCGGCATCAGCATCAGCATCAGCATCATCATGCCAACCTCGCACCCAGCATCTTAGTGACCCCCCTTACGAAAATTACTTCTACTCCGACTGCAATGTCGACGCGCAAGCCGTCGTCACGAGTCCCCTGCCCGACAGCAACCTCAGCATCATCGGACCGCGTCTCATCGTCGCGTTCCCCGCTGGGAACAGCGGCATTTGCACCTTTTTCCAGCCGCACAAGGACAAGAATGGCACGCTGGCGGTTGCCCTCGTCAATTCGACCCTGGGAGCGCCCCTCGGCGCAGTCACGTCTCAGACAAATGCCACCAAGTATCCCCATGTCGGCGTGCAGGGCATCCTGTCGTTCAACAACTCGGCCGAGGTGGCCGTGGCTATCCTCGGCAGCGTCCGAAACATCCGCGACTTCACCGAGGGACCGAGTCTCTTGAGTCCCGTCATCCAGGACGCCGTCAAGGTGGCCAGGTACAACGGCACGGGGGTGCAGCTGTCGCGGCTGTGGCTGGACAACGTCACGACAACGACGCTCACCCTGGTCCCCTGGAGGAACGACAACGCCAGCATCAGCATCTCCAACAAGACGGTCGTCTTCGGCGCCGGCTTCTACCACTTCTCCACGACCTTCAACTACCCGCAGCTCAAGCAGCTCGAGCCCCGGCAGATCCTGAACAACCAGTCGCAGGGCCTCGCCCAGCAGGACCCCGCGGGCCAGGTGAGCTCGCTGTCCTTCTTCTCCTACACGGAGAAGCTGCTCGCCGGGGGCTGGCGCTTCCTCACATACTTCGGCCGCGACAGCCTCATATCCGCACTACTCTTGCAGCCCGTCCTCAGCACGGGCAACGGGTCAGCCATGGAGGCCGTCATCGGCGCCGCCCTGGAGCGCATCAACCGCACCGACGGCTCCGTGTGCCACGAGGAGACCATCGGCGACTACGCCACGTTTGTCAACATGCAGGGGAACCTCTCCTCCACCGCCGCCGGCTTCACCTACCCCATGATCGACACCGACTACTACCTCCCCATCGTGATGGACAAGTACTTCCAGGCGCAGCCGGGCCGGATCCAGCCTCTCCTGGCGACGAGGGCCGGCGCCGTCGACGCCGACAACAGGAACCTCACCTGGGGACAGTTGGCGTACATTAGTGCCCAGAAGATCATGAACATGACCGCTGCGTTTGAGACGAACCCGTCTGTCGCGAACCTGATCCATCTCAAGGAGGGCCAAGTCGTCGGACAATGGCGCGACTCGACGTACGGCATTGCCAACGCCCGCATCCCCTTCGACGTCAACTGCGCCCTGGCACCGGCGGCACTGTACTCCATCTCCCGGCTGGCCGGCATGCACGGCGTGTATCCAAAGACCCCGGCCACATCGGGCTGGGCCTCGGCGGCGGCCCGGCGCGCACGCGTCTGGGAGGCCGAAACCCTCCGCTTCTTCCAGTACAACACCACGCTGGACACGGCGCGGGCCAGACTGGCCGACTACGCCGCCAAGAACACCTTCTACAAGGGTCCCACCAACGCCGACTCCCTGGCCAGGTACTCCTCGGCCGGGGGGCTCATCGTCGACTACGGCATCGCCGTCCACAGCTCCGCGGCGCCCGACGTCGTCCCCGTCAGCCACACCGACACGGCGTTCAGACACTTCCTCCTCAACGCCACCGGCGACGACGCGCAGCAGACGGCCTTTATCAACGCGTCGGCGAATGCCATCCTGCGCCCCTTCCCCGCGGGCCTGACCACCCCCGTCGGCGCCGTCGTCGCCAACCCCGCGCTGTCGGGCCAGGACGTCCTCATCGCCAACTTTACCAACGCGGCGTACCACGGGACCGTCGTCTGGGGCTGGCAGCTCGCCCTCATGGCCAAGGGCTTCGAGAGGCAGCTCGCGCGGTGCGGCACCCCAGCGCCCGCCGGGTCCCCGGGCTTCTGTAGGGACGACGCCGTGCTCGGGGCGCTCAGGGCCGCGTACAACCGCTTGTGGGACGTGATTGAGGACAACGAGGGGCAGCTGCAGTCCGAGGTATGGAGCTGGACGTTTGGCGCGTCCGGCAACGGGACCGGCGGAGCGTACAAGCTCTCGCCGCTGGGCGTGTTGCCGCCGCCGCCGGGTGTCGGTGCCGGGACGGAGAGCGATGTGAGGCAGCTGTGGAGTTTGACGTTTCTCGCCGTCAAGAGGAATAAGGCGTATCAGTAGGCGGAAACTATTCATGGACTCTTGTTGCTTGAGTATATATATATATATATATAGGTGCCGCTTTCACCATTGTAATTTGAGACTTGTGCAAAAAAAAAAGTTCCAAGTGTTCTCTTTTGTAAATGGCAAAGCAGCACTTGGCCGTACGCTAATAAATGTAGATAAACTCATCGTTCTCACGGTCTGTGAGGTCCATAAACGCCTTCTCTCCCGTGCGTGCCTCGCCGGCAAACTCTACAGTTCCAGCTGCAGTCTCGACGGCGTCCTCGCTCTCCTCCTCGCCCATGGCGTGATATGTAGATTGCATCGAATGATCAACCATCTTGGCCTTCTTGCCATTTCGAACACGCTTCTTCTCTTGGAGCTTGTTGAGCAGGATCAAGTTGGCCCACTGGATGAGGACAACGGCCACGAGCGCCACAAAGATGGCCAGACAGGCTCGGAGGCCGGGCTTGTAAGCGGGCGCGTCCTTGTCGTTGAAGAGGAGCGGGCCGATGATGTTGCCCGCCGAGCTGGCGGCGTTGTACACGCTCATGATGGCCGACTTCTTGGTGGTGCCGGCCGTGTTGCCGACAATCCACGTCACGATGAGCGGGTTCCCGCCAAAGAGGAATGCAAGGAGATAGTAGCCGACCAGCAGGGCGGGCTTGGCCGATTGGCCGCGGGGAACAGAGTAGAGCACGGCCAGGCCAGCTACGACGGGAAGCATGAAGACCATCAGGACGGCCCCCTTGAGACGTGCCTTTTGGGCCAAGAAACTGGCCAGCAGGATGACGATGATTTGCACGGCACCAAAGGGCATGTTGAGCAGACTGGTCATGTATTTGTCGGAAACCAGGCCGTTGAGAATAAGGGGACCAAAGGTGTTGGTGACGCTGGCGCCAACGTTTAGCAGCAGCGCCATGCCGATCCAGAGGTAGGTCTTGGGCTCGAGGGCGGCCTCGAGAAGGTGTTGCCACTTGAACTCGCGGGAACCGGTGCCGGTCTGGTTTGCTCGAAGCCGTTCAATGGCCTGGGCCTTTTCGTGCTCGGTGAGAAATCGGGCGGATGAGACATCGTTGTCGAGCTTCCAGTATACAAAGGGGGCCGAGACGATGGTGACGAGACCAACGAAGAGGAAGATGCTGTTTGGATTCTACAGTTAGTCCGACATCTGCCATGGAACAAAAGGCGTAAAAGACACGTACATTTGCCACTCCTTGAGCAAATCCGACTTGATGTGGCCCAGGCCGTAGGACAAGGCGGCAGCAATGATGGTTGCTGCTCCGTTGGTGCCGTACCATGCGGCAACGCGAATCGGCTGCTCGGCGCGCCTGTACCACTGGCTCGTGATGATGCTAAACAGCGGCAGGCAACCGGCCTCGAAGAGTCCCAGGAAAAAGCGAGCGGCCATGAGGCTCCCAAAGTTGTGGCAGGCGGCCATGGAGGCCTGTGCAATGCCCCATCCCAGACAGAGGGTCGGCATCAGGATGCGATGAGGCACCTTGACGATCAGGAAGGACGAAAAGGGCTGCCATGCCAGCTGGGCAATCGGGGCGATGGACCCAACCAGCGAGTACTCGTTGCCGGTCAGATGGGTGTCTTCCTTGAGTCCGTAGGTCGCGCCGTACCCAAGCACGGACTTGTCGAGGATTTGCAAAAAGTAGACCCAGACGAGGATGGCCAAGATGACCTTGTCCGTCTTGCGGCGGATGCGGCGACTGTCCTCGTCGGTCAGTTCGACCTGCCCGTTGCCAATGAGCGCCAAAGCCCGGTCCGCATGTCTCAGCTGATCCTGCGGCACAGCGCTCTTGACGTGGTCTTGGTCGATGCTGTGCTGGTGCTCCTCGTGAGCAGAGTTCAACTTGGGATCTGGTTGTGGTGGCATGGTGTTGACTGGAACTTGAACGTCAGGTCCGCCGCCCCGTTGGGATATTGTTGCAATCGGCAGGAAAGCAATGGAGAGGCCGAGTCTGGACAAGACGGGAGCCGAGCGGCTCTTATATCCTGACGGCGCCAACGCTACTCCGTATATCCGGCGTGAAGACGCGA